AATAGAAAGAAATTAGCTGGACAACTAAAAATATATAGAAAAAATTAGCTGGGCATGGTGGCGCATGCCTGTAGTCCCAGCTACTCGGGAGGCTGAGGCAGGAGGATCGCTTGAGCCCAGGAGTTTGAGGTTGCTGTGAGCTAGGCTGACGCCACGGCACTCACTCTAGCCCGGGCAACAGAGTGAGACTCTGTCTCAAAAAAAAAAAAAAAAAGGCAAAACTGTAGGGGCAGAGAACAAATCTGTGGTTGCCTGGGATGGAGTTGGGGGAGGCCTTGATGACAAAGAAATAGCACATGAGAATTTGGGGGGCGGTTCATGGAACAGTTCTGGATCCTGATTGCGGTGGTGGTCACATACATCTCTGCATGTGTTCAAATTCCCACACCAAAACAAGATAATGTTATTGTACATAAATTACAAAAAGTGTAGAGGTGAAATTTTTGGTAAAAATGTGATGACTAGGTCTTCGGATAGGTATTAGAGATGTATCACTCCAACACTTGAACCATCTATTAGTGTTGTAAAAAATACCAGCAGCAAAGAAACTAAAAGTATGAAGTGACTCTCCTGAAAAATAACTGAAATTTGGATTGCCATGGCCTGGTAATGAGAGTAAATTAAATTCAGTTATTTGACATATGTATCCCTAGTGTAGTTTCCGATATAGAGTAAGTATTTGATAGACATTTGTGGCATGAATAAATGTGTGAGTGAAAAAATGAAAAGGCTCACACATTTTGATATGAAATCTTTCTGCTTCAAACATCATCAAAAATTTCAAAGCAGAATGGAAGGATATTCAAGCATCACCTAAAGTTAAGTACAATGGGCCAAATGCAAGCAGAGAGCTGTGGAAACCACATTTTGTAGTGTTATATTTAATTGCAAAGGTTAGAGCTGCTGAAGTCACTGATGACACACTTGCCAAAACTGCTGCCAAAGACATGACAAAAATGATGACTGGGAACAAAGCAAGTGTCTCTGTCGAATATCACAGCTCATTTTAAAATTACAGATTTGGCAGGAAACTTAAAATGACAAATATCCAATTTCTAACCAAGGTTGATATTATTCACTGCAAATTGATGAATCCACCGGTCTTGTAAATTTAGCTCATCTTTTGGTATTTATCATATGTGACTTAAATAAATAAATTCATGAAGATATTGTGTCCTGCCAAACTCTTCCAACTTGTACAAAAGAAGAAGCAATTTCCTTCTTTCCTTCCTTCTTCTCTCCTTCCCTCGTTCCTTCCTTCTGTCTGTCCTTCCTTCCATCCTTCATTCATTCATCTAACTAATGATTACTGGGCACTAAAGATGTGCCAGCCACTGTTCCAGGCAATGGAGACACAGCCGTGAACAAGGGACGAGATCTGTTCCCTCATGGATCTTATATTCTGGTAGGTGGAAAAAGACAATAAATTGAGAGAAAAGAAAAACAGCAGATAGGAATGAACACTACACTGAGGACTGAAATGGGACAATGTGGTAGGGTGAATGAGAGCTCTGTAGACTGGGTGGTGAGGCAAGCCCTCTCCTGGAGGTAACATTTAAGCTGAGTTCTGAATGACAAGAAGGAACCACATCGGCAGACATCTGGGGAAAGGACATTGCAAGCAGGGGAGCAGCTACAGCAGTGGTTCTCAACAGGAATCGCACCGCCTCCAAGGGGGCATTTTGGAAACCGTGTGGGGGAGGGAGCGCCACAATGATTGGGGTATTCTACTGGCATTAAGTGGACAAAGGCCAGGGATGCCGCACATCTACAAGTCCTGTATTCCTTCATGGCTTTCCAAGATCTCACCAGACATTTGTGTAGGTAGAAAACGTGTTCACAATTATCTGAGTCAAGAATTTAACTCTGCTTTACTCCTAAAGACAAAACATTTTTTGCAGTGTTTATGGACATGGCATTTTCCGGCAATGCAAGTACCACGTAAATAGAAGGAAGATTGTGTTTTATTTCATTCAGAACTTCATCAAGATTGTTTTATCATTTTTTTTTAAAAAAAAAGAAGACTGTTGCCAAGGAAATAAAGATATGTCATTAAAAGGAAATCTAAAAAGCATCTCACCAACAGCAAGGCAATGTTGCAGAAAACACTACACTGGATGGGAATGCTTCAGAGAAAACCGATGGAGGAGAAAATTTTTTTTTAATTGATAATATATGCCCATGGCAAAAAGAAAAGAGACAAAAAGCAAACAGTGCAAGAGTGCACACATTGAAAACTCAATCTCCCTTCCAGCTCTGTTCCCAAGAATCCTGGTTTCCTTCCCTAAAGATAACCTGATTATTAGTTTTGGGGTATCTTTCCAGAGAAATAATTTCATTTTTATTTCAAAGGAAGGAAAGAAGGCAGGCAGGAAGGAGGAGAAGGAGGGAGGGAGGGAGGAGGAGCCAACTCAATATAAATGAATATTTACTTGTCTGAGCAAGAAAAAAATGTGAGGAAGGATACACACATGCACACCAAGCTCTAACTTTGGCTACCTCAAGGCATGGGCAGGGAACTTAACTTCCTTTAATACACTTCTGGACGATTTGTTTTGGTACAACAGGTATACAATACTTTTGTAATTTACAAATTTCCAAAGGAATAAAGAATAAAAGAAAAATTAGGAGAGCAGGAATCAACCAACATTGGTCTAAATAGAGCAAGATAAAACTGTATTAGCGAGTTAAACTAAGGCAATATACTGAGAGAAAATTTCAGTTGGTGAGAAGAGAAACTGAACAATGAGAGTTGGAGAATTAAAAAAAAAAAAACTGTTAGCACGTCCCAAGCTCTGACTAGGGCAACAGCAGGCTGCCTACTGGCTTACCTCAACTAGCCACCTTTCTCCTTATATTATAATATTATTGCTAAGATTCTTTTTCTGACTGCCTCTTTCCTTTTTTTTTTAGTTATCATACCTTTATTTTTAACATAGCACCCCAGTTTCACATGATGTACATCTTCCAAAGTGGGTGATCATTAACCTACTATGTTCTTCACAGACTCTTCAACAAGTACGAAAAAGAAGCAGTACAGTTAACTCGAGTCTACAAGTCACAATCCAAATATAAGATACTCTAAAGAATTTATTTATGTTTAAGAGCAATATACATAATGTGCCCAATGCTCAGCAAATAAACGAGCCTCTGGCTGAGTAAAATATGAACACACCTAGTTAGCATATGATCATGAAAAGATAGAAGGTATCAAATACGTACTTTGCTGTCACTCATTTTAGTGGTAAATGTACCTGCAGTGAAAAAATACACATTTTACTTTCACGGTTAAACTAGACCATCAATTCATTATCTCTCTTGGCCAATGGCCATGAAGACTAAAATGGCTCTTATTGCCTCTGGCTCACTTGAACATCTCATTTGTGTTGAAGACAAAAAAGAATGGCCGTGCTAAAGAAAAGGGTATACCCAGTTCCCAAGATGAGTGCAGTCGGAGTTCTCACACAAGTTGCCTTAAAACAAAACAAAAACAACACAACTCAGGTGATCCAATCTCCGGATAATGGGGTTATCCCCATCAAGAGTCCCAGCCCCAGGACAGAGCTTCCTGAAGGAGCTTTAGGATCTAGTCCTATTGTCCAATAGAGCGCTTTAGGACAGAACTGGTACCCGAAGGTTTCGTAGTACAGTCCCCAAATTCCAATCCAATCCCTTTTAAAGTCTTGTGTCCTCTGGTCTACTTTATCCAACTTCCCACAGCCATGAAATTAGCTTACAGCCAGACAGGACAATTGACAAAACAGGAAAAATAAGCATTCCCCAATTGTTGAGAGCAGAGCAAGGCTTCTGTAACTATCAATAGAGCGAGTTCTCACCATCAGAATCCTGCAATGCCTTTTAGCAAAGGTCCCTTTATCACCATGTGTTAGTAAATGCAGAAAATAACTATACAAGCCTAAAAGCAACTATGTATCTGAGACGTCTTGCTCACATTAACAGACCGCTGACTGCTCCCTGCTTTGAAATTATTATTGACATGGCTTTAAAAAAAGAGACAGAAATTTGGAATTTTAAAAAACTTATTAAAATCCTTCTTGGATTTTGGCCAAGTTACTCTGAGCCCTTCTTTGCCTCTACGGTCCTCTCAGCTAAAGAACCACTGAAAATGTGCCTACTGGAGTTACACTCTGCAGTCCCAGTCGACTTGTGGTGTAGCCATTAGTGGATGTTGGCATAAAAATGATCTAGGTTTGAATCCTGACTCTGCCTTGTAGGAGCTATGTGAGCTTGCGCACGTCAATCTGTGTCTTGGTTTCGTCTCCTGTAAAATAATCACAACTAATACATATAAACTGTTTACCTGTACCAGTCATTATTCATTTAATCCTTACAACAACCCCTAGGAGAAAGAAATGATAATCTCCATTTTATAGATAAAGCAACTCAGGCACAGAGAGGTTGAGTGACTTCCCGAAGGTCACACAGCTGGTAAGGTGCAGAGCCCACATTCTAACACAGGTTCCAGAGCCCAAGCTCTAACCCCCACGGCTACAGCCTCTCCAAATGAGGACAGAGCTACTGAGGGCTGTTTTGAGGATTCAATGAGATAATGTATGTAAAGCCCGATACTTTGACAAGTGTCTGAGGGGTAGCAGCTGTGGTTGTTGATGGGTTTTCCTTTCTGCTCTGTGAAACCTTCAAGGGTTTTTCTTTGAGCAGAAAAAAAGAGGTTGGAGAGAAGAGGAGGAGGAGGAGGAGGAGGAGGAAAGAGCTAGGGGAGGAAGAGAGCGAGGCGGACTGTGAAAAGGGAGAAAAGGGGCAAACAAGACGAGAGGCAGGGGTAGCGCTGAACATTTTGAAAAAAAGGATGTCTAGCTGGCTAGACCTTGAGGGAACAGCGTGACTATTTCTCACGTGAAAATCGCTACCCGAGTCCTGCGCACTAAAAAGCGCCCACATTCAGTCCGCGAGGCCTGAGAGCCCGGGCCTGCCTCGGCCGCGCTCGGGCGTGGACCCGGCTTCCCGTCCCTCCGGCGGGTCCGCCCCACGCCGGGCGGGGCCTAGCCCGCCCCCTCCGCCGGCGGCCTGAGCGCCCCGGGCCCGAGCCAGGCCGTCTCCCGGGCCGGGGCCGCGGCTCGATGGCGACGTGGCGGCGGGACGGCCGGCTGACCGGCTGGCAGCGGCTGCTGTGCGCCGGGCTGGCGGGGGCGCTCAGCCTCAGCCTCACCGCGCCCCTGGAGCTCGCCACCGTGCTGGCCCAGGTGGGCGTCGTGCGAGGCCACGCCCGGGGGCCGTGGGCCACCGGGCGCCGGGTGTGGCGGGCCGAGGGGCCCCGGGCCCTGTGGAAGGGGAACGCGGTGGCGTGCCTGCGCCTCTTCCCCTGCAGCGCCGTGCAGCTCGCCGCCTACCGCAAGTAAGAGCCTGGCCAGCGCGGCCGGGGCCAGGGAGCCGGGAGGCCGACGGGGGTGGGGGGGGTGTCCGCGGCCCGACGCCGCCCTCCCGCCGGGAGTCGGGCCCCGAGAGGGGACAGCCCCCTTCCGGGTCACGTGGGAACCCCTTGGAGCGGCTGGGCCAGAAGGCCACACGCAGTCCCCAGGTTTTTCACGTTCTCTTGGGACTCCTGCCCTGCAAGATGCAGTTTCCCAGCTCTGGCCCTGACTCTGGCCCAGAGAAGCTTTCAGGGCTGGATGGGGCGAGGAGGTGGAATGGAGTGAAAGGAGGTTTGGGGGAAAGGAATAAAGAGATCTCCAGAGAGATGAATCCTGACCATTCCCTGCTGTCCACCAACTTGGAAACTTGTTTTGGCTGGCTTAGGAGGAGAGAGACCCTTTCGAAGGAAGAGTGTGTGTGTGAGTGTGACCAAAGCCCCAGAAAGGGCTTGGTAAGGGGAGAAGGCCCGATCCATTAACACCAAAAAGCTGCAGATTTCTACCCACCCGTTCCCCCCAGCCTAAATGAAGCTTGACTTTAGGGTTTAACTGAGCTTCCCCTTCCCAAGCTGGCTCCCTGCTCACTGGCCTCATTCTTTGGGCTTTCCCCGCCTTCTCTCATATCAATAACTGCTCCTTAGGAAAAGATCTAAAGATGTAAATACAGTCTTAAGGCTTCCCCCTTGCTCAGAGATATTTGCATTTGAACTGGAAACCAAGCCTAAAAGAACGAAATGGTAGTGATGACATTTCAGGAAGAGGAGATGTTTCTATATTTGGGGGGGATGGTCCTTGTATTCCTCATTTGGTGGGCACAGTGCCATCTCTGAGGACCGGCCTTGGTTCTGAATTAGACAAACAGCCCACTCTCAGGGGAGAGCCAGTCTTGACCACATCGTTCAGCCTCCGTGGCTAACAAAGGATTTTGTCTTGACACTGCCACTTGGAAGACAGAGCTGGAAGGCTTACCTGGCAGCTGACAAGCAGAATGGAATCATTCTTATCCCTGAATCCTCCAGACCAGCACTCATTTGGCCTCTGCTTGGGAATAGAGTTCCCTTCTCTTCCTCTGTGGAGAGACTCTTGGGTAGGGTCATTCATGCACCTCTCTTCCCTCCCCAGCCTCCTTGCCCTCAGCAACATTTGGCCCGCAGTCTGTAAACAGTTCTCCTCTAAGTTTTTATGACTCAGTTTCCCTGTTTCATCCTCTTCTCCACAAAGTGGTATGCAGATCTTCCTCTGGATAGGATAGAATGTGTACAGAGGGGTGGCGGCAGAACTTCGAAGGCTGGTTTAAGTATCATGGCTTTTCTGCTAACCACCTAGTACACAGGCATCATTAGATTTTTACAACTCCTGCCTCCTGCACTGTTCAAGATCCATAGAGCAGGAAATGCTTATTTTACAGATGCAGAATTAGGCCCAGACTGGTCACACCACTCATCAGTGACAGAGCTGAGCTCTACCACCTGGCCTTTTGACTCCAAATCTCATACTCTGTCACATCATGCTATCTTTCTCTCTGCATTCATTTGACATTAATTTAGTTAGGCTACGTTAAGTCCCCACTGTGTGCATGATACTAGAGATGATACAAGGATGAAAAGGGCACAGTCCCTATGCCCCAGGAGCTTACAGAATAGTAGAAGAATAAGACTAGTGTGTTCATAACACACGAGGTAGCATGCGATTGCCGTGGATAAAGTGCTCTAGAAATTTACACTTCTGATGAGGGATGAGGAGGAGAAGGTATGAAGACTTCACAGAGGAGAAAACATTTGAGTTCAGCCTTGGGAGAATGAGTAGGAGTTTACTGGGCAAAGATGGGGAGAAAGATAATGCAGGAGGTGGGAAGGCAAGCAGCATGACTGGAAATTTGGCCCGAAAACCAGGTTGGAATGAAATCTTGGAGGGCTGGATTAAGGAGTTCGGACTTTGCTTGGTATGCTAGGGGAGTTGTGGGAAGTTTTTTTGAGGGGGTGGGGGTGCTGTGATTAAAGCAATTCAACAGGAATGATTACACAGTGGCAGGGTAGGACAACTAGAGAAGAGGAAGACTGGTAGCGACAGGACCAGTTAGGAACCTGTTGCACTAGTCCACATGGCAGCTGAGGACACCTGAAATAGGCTGGTGACAGTGGAAAGAGAGAAGGGATGTGTGGGAGAGAAAGCACAGAGACTTACCTGAGCTGGGTTTGCTAATTTTTTTTTTCCTGCAACATTATTTTCTTTCTGGAAACTAAAAGAAAGTATTTCAGTGACTAACAAGGCATAGTTAGAAAGCAAAGTGGTTGATTAATCACGATGCCATCCCTCCTACATAAACATGATGCTCTTGCTTCATCGTTATACTGATTCATTTCTACTCTTTCCTGACCATGAATTTGCAAAACAATTGGTTGGGTGCAATGGTATACAGCCTATGATCAGGGGTTTGAACAAAGCATAAAAATCCAGAATGTTGAGGTAATTGAGTGGTTAAATGATTTGCCCACAAACTCAATTAATGGCAGAGTTGGAACTTGAAGCCAGGTCTTCTGGCTCCTTAGTCCAGGGCTCTGTCCACTATTGCACAGCAGAAATATCTGCTTATGTGGATTTATGATCAGAAGAGTCCACTCAGTAGAGTTTATTTGGAGCTAAGTTCTCATAATAAATAATAGCGAACACAGTAGATGACTTTCAAATGCATCAAGTAGAAGACACCCTCCCCCCAAAACTTTACTCTGCAACTGCTTGTCATCTGTATAAACACTGGTTTGGGTCCCTGCAGCTCTGAAATTGTTCATAACCAACACCATTTTCTTATTGTATACGCACTTCATGGGCTGGTGCTTGGCTGCATTGGCTGCTAACCTGTGTTAGGTGGAAGCGTTGGCAATTCTAATTACGTATATCCAGGGTATGTGTAATATCTGTGCTGGCTGAAAAGAAGGGGTTAATGCAATTCACCAGCTTATCCAGTCTCCCTGGCAAAAGCTTCTGTGCATGTATTTGCGGGGGTGGGAGGAAGAGCAGAAACGAGAACACTGCTGCCCCAGCCAATCAGACAAGAGTTTGAGATGTAGGGACCAGGATGACGTCATTGGTGGCCTATCAGGGTTGCCTGCCTTGACTCTGTGATTCTAAGGGGAATAATTGGTGGTCCTTGTCTCTGTATCAGATGGTAGAAGCCTGAGAAAAAAAGGATTTCCTTTGGTTCTTTTTAATGTTGTGTATTTGATAGTAAGACCCTACTTTATAAAACAAACTGCTGTAAGATAAGGTTCCTCTTCCTGGTTCATCAAGTTATTTAGTGAACTAAGGGCCTATTTCCTCTCCAGTTGCCCCTCTCAGTCATTTCCTTATCAGGACTATTGAACTCTCTCTCTCATGCTCTATGCTGAGGACTACCACAAGGTATGGCACATTGTAGATGTTCAGTAAATCGGTAATGAATTAGCTATGCCCTAGAAGTGGTCAAGTGGGATGGAAAATAAGGGTGGGGCAATAAGAATAAGTGGTGTTTCTTTCGGCATTTCAAACTCCACCTTCTAGGTTGGTCTAGGTTGTTCCAGCTTGCTGCAGACCACCCCTCCAGTCAAGCATTTCCACTTCCCCTCCTAAGGTTCCCCGCCGACCTGACTGGCCAGGGGAGAGAGAAGGGAGGAACAAGGAAGTGTGCAAGACAGTAAAACTGAGGCAAATGGGCCATTGGTGAATGCCAGCTTTACTTACCTGCATCTTTAAAAGTAGCTGTTTAACTCCAATGACTGTTTCAGTTGACGCAGTTAAGATAGGCTGACAAAAGGAAGTGAAGACTACTGCAGATTTTTTTTTAATCAATGAGTGTTTACTTGGGAGCAGAAGAGCTGGCCTAGAACCCTTTAAATGGTTTCAGCTGAATGCCCACTTATTCCTCATGCGGAGGGCCCTTGCCTTCTGACGAGTGAAGGAAAAGGAAATGCCCTCTTCACTGGAGATTTGAAAGCCAGAGAACTGGGGATGCTCTCATTCTTAAAAAGATGAAATGCTTTTATTTTAGCCTAGCTCTCTTTATTTACCTTTCTCTATCCCTCTCCCTCTCCCCCTATCCCCACTCTCAGGCAGAAAATACTACTGTTTTTTCTGGTTTTCAAGCCCTTTTGGATTTTGTCCTCATCAGCAAGAAGGAATACAATTCCTATGCTTCCTGGCCAGGGAATGTGCGCCGCCGTGTAAAAGTCCCCTTGTAACGATTTCTGCTGAAGTAGGCCCTTGGGACCAGCAATGCCCAGCTTCCAAAAAGAGGGATTGTAACAGAGTACCTTTCTATTTTGCTTTTGCAAAGGTCCATCTAAAGCCATTTGTGTATGCGAAATTGTAAAACTACAGAGAAATACAAAGGATAGTCCGGCAAACACTCCTATACCCACCATCCACAATTTAACAGCATAAAAGGTAGCATAAAAGATACTTCAAGAAATAAAGTATTATAGATAAAGCTGAAGTCCTCTTTATTCTTATTCCCAGTCCCATCCGCCCTCCACTTTCCCAGAGGTCTGTTTTTATACTTCTGCGTATGGATCCATACCTAGCCATGGAAAATATAAAGTGTTGTGTTATGGGGTGTGTTTCTAAATTAAATAGATGGTTTTTATACACTAGAGATCACTCTGCAGCTTACTTTTTTTTTTTTTTTTTTTGAGACAGAGTCTCACTGTGTTGCCTGGGCTAGAGTGCCGTGGCATCAGCCTAGCTCACAGCAACCTCAAACTCCTGGGCTCAAGCAATCCTTCTGCCTCAGCCTCCCGAGTAGCTGGGACTACAGGCATGCGCCACCATGCCCGGCTAATTTTTTCTATATATTTTTAGTTGTCCAGCTAATTTATTTCTATTGTTAGTAGAGACGGGGTCTCACTCTTGCTCAGGCTGGTCTCGAACCCCTGAGCTCAAACAATCCGCCCGCCTCGGCCTCCCAGAGTGCTAGGATTACAGGCGTGAGCCACCGCGCTCGGCCTGTAGCTTACTTTTTTCATTCAATATTATGCTTTTCTGATTTATCCCTGTGGAGACATAGTTCTAAGCTCATTCATTGAGTATTTATTTTAAATATTATCCATTGTAAGACGATACCATGATTTATCCATTCCCCTACCAATGAAAATTTAGGTTGTTTGAGTTTTCACACTTACAAACAACGCTGTATGTGTCCTCATATGTACACATGCAAGAGTTTCTCTACAGGGTACACCTAGAAATCGAATTGCTGGGGTAAAAGTAGGTGTTTTTCCATTTCTAGATACTACGAAGTGGCCACAGCAATATACACTTCTCCCAGTGGTGGGTGACAGTTCCTGTTTCCACATGTCCTCAACATCACTTGATATTATCAGACTTTTTAATCTTTGCCAATCTGCTGGGTGAGAAATGTTATCTTGTTATTGTTTGTATTTGTCATTTCTCTGATAACTAGTAAGGCAAAGCAGTCTCTCATAATTATTCACTAATATATTTTTTAAATTCAATTACTGCGATGCTCAAAGTCATCATTTCAAGAAATTTCATTCCTTTTAGGTTTCAACAGAAGCAAACGAGTACATTCTAGTTTGGTATTTACCAAGTCCTTCTGTGCCTTTACATCCCATAGGTGAGCCAGGGTTGACAGTTATGCAGATAAAAGGGGAAAATGCTTAATGTGAAGTGGGAAGGACTTAGGGTAGATATAAAAAAGAAGGTTGGGCATCTCTTCCTAACAGCTAACTAGCATTTTATAAATATAGAACTTAAATGTGTTATTCATTAATGCTAATACAGTACTACAGTAACTTTTTGCTTTGTAAAGCACTTCCAAATGCTGGAAAATACTGCAAGAAGTAATATAAAGCACTCTAGCACAATCCATCGCTGATTCCTTTGGGCTTTTCCCTTATTTTCTCCCAGGTTTGTTGTGCTGTTCACGGATGACCTGGGCCATATTTCCCAGTGGCGCTCCATCATGGCTGGGAGTCTCTCAGGCATGGTCTCCACCATCGTGACGTATCCTACAGACCTCATCAAAACCCGATTGATTGTACAGAACATGCTGGAACCATCTTACAGGGGGCTTCTCCATGCTTTTTCCACTATTTATCAACAGGAAGGGTTCCTGGCCCTTTATCGAGGGGTTTCCCTCACTGTTTTAGGTAAGATGAAACTTTTCACCTTGTCCAAGAAAAGGCTGTGTTCTTTGATATGTAAGAATGTATTATATACCTTTGTGACCCTTTAAATCATTTTTACTGATGTCAAGGTTGTATGGATTTGACCCATATAAAGCCAGTTAGTTTCATTCTATTCCATAGCCCCATACACCCCACTCCTAAACTTTGGCCAGTCACAACCTGGGGAGGGGGAGGGGGGAGTAGGACAGAAAGTGGAGGTGGCTCAGCCAACCAGGAGGAATGTAATCCTAACCTCTCCCCACCTAATGTGGAAGGAATCTTTAATGTGCATACATACACGTTATGAGGACCACAGCTAGGGTAGCAACTGTATCTTCTGTGGTCCTTGTAACCTTTGCCGGAACTACACACATACAGGCCCAATTGCCAAATTCAGTAGACTTTCGCCCTTTATCTGACCTTTGTTGCAGCATGTGATAAGATTGATCACCCTTCCTCTGGAAACTGGACTTCTATTAATAGGACCCCACCAAGTCCTGGGTGTCTTCCCATTGTCTCTCTGGCAGCTCTTTCTTACCTGACTTACCTTACCCTGTCATCTGACAGTGCCAGCCCCCACATATTTCTCCCCCGAACTCCAGACTCCTCCTGGGCTTTCTTTTTACCTTCCACTTTAGCTTGCTTCTCACCCTCCATACCCTCCCTAGGTAGCCTCATCTATGCTAGTGGCTTAAACAAATATCAACATACTCTGTAAGCTGGGCACAATAGTTCGCATCTGTAATCCTGAGACAGAAGGATCACTTGAGCCTAGGAGTTCAAGACCAGCCTGGGCAACACAGTGAGACCCGTCTCTACAAAGAAATTTTTTAAATTAGCTGGGCATGGTAGCTTGCACCTGTAGTCCCAGCTACTCAGAGGCTGAGGCAGGAGGATCGTCTGAGCCCAGGAGTTCAAGGCTATAGTGAGCTATGATCACACCATGGCACTCCAGCCTGGGCAACAAAGTGAGACCCTGTCTAAAGAAAAAAAAAAATAAAGAAAAGAAAGAATGCCTGTCTTTTAGAGAAAGATGCTAAATTGTTTATGGATTGAATCATATCTGAGATTGGTTCCAGAATAAACAGGGGAAATTATATACTCTGTGACCCCCAATCTCTACCTCTTTGATAACAATGAGTAACATTTGGGGAGAGTGCTTACTGTGTGCCAGGTACTATGCTAACTGCTTTGTGTGCAGTTTCTCATTCAAGCTTCATTTTACAGATGAAGAAATAGATGCGTAGGGAAGCTAAGTGACTTGCCCAAGTTCACATAGATAGAAAATGGAAGAACCTAGCAATGTAATTCCAGAGCGCTCTCCTAGCCACTGGCTTATACCAATTCCCGATGGCAGTATGAGTACCTGCTGTTGGACACCTTCACCCCGATGCTCCCTAGGTGCATCAAATTCAAGACTAACCTCAGTGTCCTCATTAATCTCAAATCAGCTCTTCCTCCTGTGTCCCCTAACAAATGAGACCGCCTTCCTTTCACCCAGTGGCCCAAGCCAGAAAAAAACTAGGAATCACTTCAACTCTTCGACTAACCCCATTCCCACTTCAGTGGGAGTCCTGCCAGTTTGGCCTCTTTTCCCTCTCAGGCCTAGCTCATGTGCCTCATCATCTTTCCCGCAGACTCAGTTCCTACCTGCTCCCAGTCTTGGGTCACTCCTGCCCTGGTCTGCCCTGCGCACTGCTGCCAGGCTGAGGTGATCTCTCCACATGCAATTCGATTGTTTCACCACCTTCATTTTGCTACCCTCCTTAAAAGCTTGCTGTGACTCCTGAGCTACAGGGGAAAATCCAAATTCCTTATAACATTCCAGCTCCTTCAGACCCGGTCCCTATCAGTCTGTCCTACCTCATCTCGTGCCATGACTCTACCTTCACTCATGCTCCAGCCACACAGAAAAATTTGTGTTTCCTGGGAATACCACTTCCTTTGTACATTCTGTTCCCTCTGCCTGGACTGCCTTTCCACTCTCTCAGTGTCTGATAAACTCCTACTCATTCCTCAAAACCCAGTTCAAAAGTTCTCTCCTCTGTCAAGTCCTTCCTGATTCCCTCAGGCAAAATTAATCCCTCTGATCCTTGTGCACCTAAGGCATTTTGTATAGCCCACTGTTATGGCACGTATCAGGAGTGCTATCCTTAGCTTTCCCTGGCTGTCTCCTCCCCCAGATGTGAGCATCTCCAGGAATTAGCCTGCTTCTCTGTGTATTCCCAGCACCTGGCATAGGGCTCGGCACTTAGCCTAAGCTCCCCAGATGTTTCCTGAATGAAGGAAATTGGGAGGTTGGTGAGTCATTTTTAATATGTTTATTAAATAAATATTACATTTTTCTAAAGATAAGCAACCCTACTTGTGTTATTTCCTCTTTTAAATCTCATTTTGAGGAAGAAATTTAGTCCCTCTGTAAACTGAAGGTGGCTCCCAAAGTTTCTGGAAGTTTGTGAAAGTGCCACCTACTGTATCACTTGCCCACCATCTTAGTTCCTAGAAAAGTGAGGATGCCACACAGTGTAGGATGCCCACTGGGCCCTGATATGACCACATCATTCCACAAGGTGAAGTCAGGTGACTTCCCTCACCACTGAGAGTCTCTCACTGTCCAGTTTTCACAGAACGTTTCCTTCTCAGCTAGAGATCAGTCCCTCCTAGCTTCGAAAACCTGATTAGGTGCCACCCGCTAACATTTTATTTATGAGAGTGATTTTTTCCAATTTTTTTTAAATTTCAAATACCAAGAGAATTTAAAGGAAATGTAGAATAAACACCTATATATCTACCATGTAGATGCTACAATTAACTTTTGCTTTATCACATATTTATCCACATATCCATCCCTCTAGCCATTCATCAGTCCATATTTTTTGATGATTTCAGTGTAAGTTGTGAACATCAGTACACTTCACCCCTAAACCCTTCATCATGTGTAGCATTAACACATCAACTGCCATGTGAGTTGTATTTAACTCAGGCTAGTTTTGAGCCTTGGGCCTCATGAAGCAAAACCCTGCAATTGGTTTGTGAAAATCTTGTTGATTTTCTTATTGTGACAATTAATATTGACAATTTAATTCTAAAAATGTGGATTGCATTGCATATAACTCAGGCACAGAAAACAATAAAAAGTAACAAATTAGAAAAGATAGTTTTGCTTTATTAAAACACTGTGGCCCCAGGGAAAGAAAAATTTTTTTCTAGTGTGCCAGTCAATGTGTTAACTAGAGTTCAATATTTGTTTATGGTTCTTTTTTTACATAAAATACGTAAAGGGGACGAACCTATAGTGAACCATTTGGTGCATTTTGGCAAATGACACACCGTCTACCAAAATATAGCCCATTATCACAGCTGGAGAAAGTGCCCTCATGCTCCTTGGGTAGGAGTGATTTTGACAAGCCCAGAGCCCCTCCTGTTTACTTTCCCCACAGACATTTACGTTCTCCAGCCAGTGTTTTCCCAACACATCAGCAGCCTCTTCCTGGCTTTGTCTTGCAGGTGCTGTCCCATTCTCTGCTGGCTCCCTTCTTGTTTACATGAACCTGGAGAAAATCTGGAATGGACCCCGAGATCGGTTCTCTGTCCTGCAGAACTTTGCCAATGTCTGTCTGGCTGCTGCGGTGACCCAGACCCTCTCCTTTCCCTTTGACACCGTGAAGAGAAAGATGCAGGTGAGGAGTTAGGGGTAGGGGGATGCCTTGAAGTGTTTGTGGGTGGGTAACAGCAACAAGGAACACTGACCCTGAGTGACGCCAGGCTTCCAAGGAGCTTGTGACTGCTCATACGAATACCGTGCAAACCCCCACTCCATTGGCATCTGTGCTGCTAACCACAGAGCTGTTGGCTTGAGCCCAAGCCGCCCCCTCATTCCCATACTCTGTTTTAGTCTTTTATGAAGTCTCCAGATGAGGTCCCCTTTTCTTTCCTGTCTTCCTGGCTATATCACTTGTGGAGCTCCTTCCTCACAGACAACAGGGAGTAGAACGTAGAATGCAGCCTGCTAGTTCTCCCTCTCCTTGCTGCTTCCACAGCGAGGACTTCCACAGCACTCTTGCTCTCCTCACTACGCCTTACCTCAGTGAAACAGACTGGAGGGGACTAAAATGAGCTGGGAACTAAAGCTAACAAGGGTCCAGTAGTCCCTGACTCCCTCGCCGAGGAAGGAACTGCATTTAAAATGGGGAAGACGAGTGTGGTGGCGCATACCTGTAGTCCCAGCTACTTGGGAGGCTAAGGCAGAAGGATCACTTGAGCCCAGGAGTGCAAGACCAGCCTGAGCAACATAGCGAGATCCTGTTTCTACAAAAACGTAACAATTTAATGTTTTTTAATAAAATAGTGCTGTGTCTTAGTGGAATTAGCCATACATTTTCCTAGTTGTTACCTGGGAAATCTCACATTTTCTCTACGGACCACAGAGGCAAAAGCCTAGAATCAGAGGTTCCAAAATGAGTAATTGGCTTAGCCTAGAATAAGCCAATTTTGATAAAAGAAAAATTGGACTGGTTGAAATAAGGTTGGGGGTTACAGCCACATCTGTACAGTGGGGGCAGGCTCAGAATCCAAAGAGGCTTGGCATCTTCCCTTAACCCTGCTCATGCCCTTAAAATTCCACTTCCACAGGCTTGCCTGCCTCCCTGGCCTCTTTGGGGCAAACCCTGATTTAGCCAAGCAATATATTCCTGAAGAGCTGTATGGAAATGAACTTGGAGTCAGTCGAATCCAATTTTAAATGATCAGTCCCAGCTGAGTCTGTTTTTCCCGTTACTCTCCTTGTACCTCTGCTTACTCGATGCCTCCCCCGACCAACTCCCACTTCCGCTCCATAGTATTGTTGGCTGTTATCTCAGCACTAAAAAGCCTGAAAGTACTTATCAAAGCTGCCCGTCAGACCAAATACACACCGGCAGCTACACTCCACTCTGCCACTCCAGCCCATGGAAGTTTTCATCTGTCTGGCTCATGTTCCTTACTTGTCCTTGTCCAAACAGATAAATAATTATCAAGTTGTTATAATGGTAGTGTAGGTGCAAATTTTAGAGCCTGCTTAGCATATGCTTATTCATTTAAAAAAACACTATTTCTAATTTTAAAAGTAATGCACATATACTTAAAAATGGTTAAAGTGATTCATTTTATGTTATATATGTTTAACCACAATAAAAAAGTAATGTACACAGGTTGTAGAAAATTTGGGAGATACAGGAAAGTACAAAAAACCCCAATAAATTACCCACAAGTCCAACACCCATGGATTATAAAGATTAATAGTTTTTCTTCTATGTATATTCATATGTGTATGTAAATATAAATATATATAAACATGTATATATAAGGTTATTTCATTTTATAAAATTGTTTCACACTGTGCATAAAAGTTAATATCCTGCTTTTTCATTTATTATATAAAGAGTATTGCTCCAGACCATTAAGTATTTAATTATCAAATAATATTCCACCATATGGAATTGCAAGAAATATCTAACAATTTCTTGGGTTTTTTTTGAGTATTTAGGCTGTTTCTAATTCTTAAGTATAATAACATTGTAATGAAAACACTTGTATTTTTTCACATCTGTGATGATACCCTTAGACTATATTCTTAGAAATCGACTTACAGGTCACAAGATAATGAATAATTCTAAGGTTCTTCATGAAATTTGCAGTCTAGAAAGGTTGTTAAGTTTACACTTGCACCAGCAGTCAGAGAGAGTGGTTCATCTTCTAAACTCTCGTCAACATTAATTATTGTCACTTTTTAAACCATTGTGGACCTGATAGCTGGAAAATGGTATCACATTGCTTTAATTTGTACTTTATTAATATCGATTATAAACAAAATTAGACATTTTTCATATATCAATTGGCCCTTTGTGTTTCTTTGTAAATTTTCTATTTATGTCCTTTCCCTATTTTCCTAGAATATTCAGCTTTTTATATTGATTGGTAAGAAGTCTTTATATGTTAATCCTTTATCATACATCACATATGTGTTTTTTCCAGTTTGACATTTGGCTTTTAATGAAGTTTATCTGTTGTTGTTTTTGTTGTTTTGTTGTACATATTTTAAAAATTTTATCCAATTTTTTTTTTTTTTTTTTTTAGAGACAGAGTCTTGCTCTGTCACCTAGGCTGGAGTGCAGTGGCTCCATCATAGCTCATTGCAGCCTCAAACACCTGGGCTCAGGCGATCCTCCCACCTCAGCCTCCCAAGTAGCTGGGACTACAGGTGGGAGCCACCACACCCGGCTAATTTTAAAAACAAATTTTAAGAGACAGGGGTCTCACAGTGTTGCCAGACTGGTCTCAAACTCCTAGCCTCAAGTAATCCTCCTGCCTTGGCCTCCCAAAGTGCTGGTATTACAGGTATGAGCCACCATGCCTGACCTTATTTTTTTTGTTTGTTTCTAAGTTTGTATTTCTGTTTAAAAGGCCTACCCCATCCCACAATCCTATGACTATTCACTCATATGTTCTTTAAATACTTTATTTTGGTTATAATTTCTACACCTAATGCTTTAACACATTTAGAAGTTACCTGGTGCATGATGTTAGGCAATCATCTAACTTTTTAAAATACAGTTTACCAATTGTTTAAGTAGCACGTTTTGAATAATCTTTCTTTTTCCCACTACTTTGTACTGCGACCTTCACCACACACTGAATGTTTGTATCTATTCGAGGGTCTCTGTCTCTGGGCCGCATTGTCTGTTCTGTTGATCTGTCAGTCTGTCCTTGTACAGTACCGCGCCATCTTAGTGACCATGGCTTTAGAATGCCTGTTAATATCTGGTAGGACATATCCCTCTTCATTGCTCTTCTTTTCAACATTTCCTTGATTGTTCTCAGTTACTTGTTCTTCCTGATGAACTTTAAAAATTACCTAGTGATTATGACTGGAATTACATTAAATCTATAAACTTGAAATAATTAACGTAAACTATTCCATCTTTTTTTTTTTTTTTTTTTTTGAGACAGAGTCTCACTCTGTTGCCCAGGCTAGAGTGCCGTACTGTCAGCCTAGCTCACAGCAACCTCAAACTCCTGGGCTCAAGTGATCCTTCAGCCTCAGCCTCCCGAGTAGCTGGGACTATAGGCTTGTGCCACCAAGCCCGGCTAATTTTTTGTATATATTTTTAGTTGTCTGGCTAATTTCTTTCTATTTATAGTAGAGACGGGGTCTTGCTCTTGCTCAGGCTGGTCTCGAACTCCTGACCTCGAGCGATCCTCCCGCCTCGGCCTCCCAGAGTGCTAGGATTACAGGCATGAGCCACTGCGCCCAGCCTATTCCATCTTTTATTTAGGGACATAATATATCTCTCCTTTACTTTCAGTCTTCTTTCTTTAGCTTGAACCATAGGAAACTGGTAGTGTCCAACCTTTTTGATATTTTCAAACAGCAATTTCCTATGGTTCAACCCTTAGACAAGTTGTTTTCTTCATAGGATAATTATACTCTTTCTAAAGAAGATAGCGTCTTTATAAAAAAAAGAAAGAAAGAAAAAGCTAGGGAGAGATGGAGTAGGAAGGATGTATGATATACTACAAGCTTTTAATTCATTTTTTAAAATCCTGGCACTATGAATTTCTCTCACTGCAAGGGGCATCTCTCCAGCACTTTCTGCCGCCCCTTATAATTTAGTGTTCCTTATGCATAGTTCAAGGTTTGGTGAGCTCAGCTTCCTTCGTATAGTGGGCCCGTCCAAAACTGGGGCCTGGAGCCTGGTGGGTAGGGCTAGTGTGAAAGGCTTTCAGATGAAGTTCAGTGATACCAAACATGGGTCTGAGGGGTTTCAGTCTTCTCTATAAAACTTTAGTTTTCCTTTCTCTTCCTGAGTGCTAGAACAATGACCTTCCTCTGGGAGAATCTAACCAACACTGCATTCTGCACTAGAATATATCCTTACCACAACAATCTACTATATAAACTATATAAACCAAAGTAAGATATACTAGAGGTGGGTATTTGGGGATGATTCTGATGATCTTTTTCCTTGTGTGGGAACCTTCTAGATAATGCATACATAGACCTTCAAGAAGAAACTTTCAAATAAATGCGAAGTCATGATGGTTGTAAAAAACAAATCTAAAGAGGTAATTGTGCTGTTTTCACAAAATAGGATCAGCATCTAATTATGAATAACATCATAAATGTCATCCAAAGATATAGGAAATGAGTTCTTAGAGTTTCAAAGTGTTCTTTTGCAGGGGTTAATAACATTCTAATACCTTGTCTACCATATATTAATAAAAAAAATTAACCCCCAAGACAGAACTGCAGGCTGCTTTTAACACATTGATTGGCACACTAGAAAAAAAAAATTTTTCCAAGGCCATTGTGTTTTATTAAAACAAAACGATTGTTTCTAATTTGTTATTTTTTTATTGTTTTCTGCGCGTGAGTTATATGCAACACAATCCACGTTTTTAGAATTAAATTGTCAATATTAATTGTAACAATAAGAACACTAACAAGTAAGATTTTCACAAACAAACTGCAGGGTTTTGCTTCATGAGGCCCCTGGCTCAAAACTAGCCTGAGTCAAATACAACTCATATGGCAGTCAGTGTGTTAAATACAAACGTGGCATGGCCGGGCGCGGTGCCATTAGATGTCGCTGCGGTAAATGGAGAGAGCACCTGAGCACTTCATGACTGTATTAGAGCCTGA